GACCAGGCAGCTGCCGGTCATATGGGCTTCCACAAGACGTTGGCTCGTGTGAGCCGCCTGTACGTCTGGCCGAAGCGCAAGGACTTTGTGAAGGACTACGTCGCAGAGTGTCCCACCTGTCAGGAGGTGAACAGTGCGAACCACCTACCTTATGGTTTGCTCCAGCCTCTTCCTCTCCCTGAGGGTCGTTGGCAGTCCATCTCGATGGACTTTATCGGTCCTCTTCGACCTCCGACCGCCCGCGGTCATGATGCTATCCTGGTCGTCGTCGACCGCTTCACGAAGCTTGCACGCTTTGTTCCGTGCCGCTATGCCATCAGTGCACGTGAGGTCGCCGACATTGTATTTGACCGAGCCGTGCGTGACCACGGCTTACCTCTGAGCATCATATCTGACCGTGACCCGCGCTTTACCAGCCGATTCTGGCGACGGCTCCACGAGGTGTACGGCACTCAGCTCCGCTTCTCCTCGTCTTACCATCCTCAGACTGATTGTCAGACCGAGATCACGAACARGACTCTCGGGGATATTCTCCGAAAGATTGTTCGTGACGACCAGCAGTGGGATTTCCATCTTGCCCACACGGAGATAGCCTACAACCACGCCGTCTCGCCAACCACGGGGATGTCGCCTTACTGTTGCGACCTCGGCTATCACCCGCGTGTTCCCGCAGACTTCCTTCGACCGTCCCAGATGCACCCCGACACGAGTTGTCCCGCGTTGGATGATTGGGTTGCACACATGACGTCGATTATGAAGACCGCACATGAGCACATAGCCACTTCCCAGACTCGCATGGCAGCACGTGCGAACCGATCGAGGATAGATCACTCATTCAAGGTCGGTTATGATGTGCTTATCGACGCCCGCCACTTACAGCTCGAAGCGGACACGCTTCGCAAGTTTCGGCGTCGCTTCTTTGGCCCATGCCGCATCCTCCAGGCCGTCGGTTCTGATACGGCATCTAGCCCGGTCAGCTTTCGTGTGAAGCTGCCCAACGACCTTTGCCAGACTCGTGTGCATGATGTCTACCACATCTCGTTATTGCATCCTTACCGCAGACCGTCTGAGCGTTTCGCTGGACGACCATACGAGCGCCCTCCACCCATCGTGGTGGACGACCACGAGGAGTTCCTCGTTTCAGACATCATTGGTCGTCGAGTCACCGATGACAACCCTTCCCACGTCGAGTATCTCGTACATTGGAAGGGTTACCCTAATGAGGAGGCTACCTGGGAGCCCCTCGAGCACTTGCAGCACGCTCGCATGTTGGTGCGTGCCTATGACTGTGCTCGTCGTGCTGGGTTCACTGCTCCTCCTCAGCCCACTGACCCTCCTCCTTCTCCTCCGACTGAGGAGACCGCTGAAGTTGAGCCTGCTCCATCTTAGGCAGACCTTCAGCAGCAGGCGGATGCTTCTGAGCGTCCACAGCGCACTCGTCGTCGTCCTGCTCGATACGACGATTGACTCTGACTTACCTTCCCACGTCTTTGACTTCTCAGTACTCCATCCACATCAGTTTTGGTACTTCAGCTCGTCGACGCTGCGGCTCTTTCTCGACGATATTCCGGACTTCTCATCGTGGACGTCATCGGCAACTTCATGGACTTCATCACGATCAGCTCTACCTACTTCAGACGTCGTCACTCTCTTACCACTCTACCCTGTACAGTACCCTGTTTGTGTCGCATGATGGTCTCCCTTTAGTCGGGTTCCTTTGAGTTGAGCTCTCCCTTGGTATACGCATAGGCATCGGGACCGTAGCGTTGCCCTGGCTTCCCATCTTACGGATCTAGCTCCGACTTCCCCACCTTAGGAGTCATCTGCATGATTCCCTTACCCATCACCTTCCTACCCTCTGCCGGCCCTCACGCCCTAGTTAGGCAGCCCCGCATGCTTCATCTAGGTGCGCCCAGTATATCAGGCTCCCTTGTTCCCGTGCATGGTCGACCCTCCATAGCGGTCACCCCTTAGCCGAGCTTTACCCGCCCTGATGGTCTACCTCTTAGGGTCATTGGTTCTGTTCGCTCCCAGTTCCCTACCCTTATTGAGCCTTATGACATGTGTCTCCCTGTTATCTATGTGTGGATGCCCTTAGGAGTTTTCGACCCCTAGGCTGCATTCGCCACCCTCAGAGACCATCCCACCCTTTGGTTTGCGACACACTTCTCATGTGACATATGGTTGTCTTGTTGATTGCTTTGTTGGTCTCAGACTGAGGCTACTGCCTCCGACGTTTCTAGGATTTAGCTGTTTTGCTTTTGCTATTCTTAGGACTTATACACTAGTCAGTTGTTACCAAACTGAGGTTAGTGCCTCCAACATTCTAGGATCTAGTTGTCACTACTTTTTGCTTTCCTAGGACATGTATGTTAGTTAGTTGCTTCTACTTTCACTTAGGCTGTTAGCTGTGACATTGCTGTTTTGTGACATTTTATATCCTAGGTTGCATCGCATGGACTCAGCATGGAGCTTGCTCCGCATCCTAGACTACTCAGGTTTTCTTTTCTTTGGTAGAGTTCCGCTTCTTGGCGGAAGCATGTTTGTATCTACGCGATCCATCACAGACCGAGGATCGTGTAGCGGACCTCGGGTTGGCCTGTGAGACCAGCCCCTTGGCCTGTTCTCACAGGCCTGTGTTATATTTGGGGTAGGCCAGTCCAGGCCGGTACCTCTGTCGGTACCAGCCAGTCCAGTCCAGTCTCGTCAGTCCGCTGGGGTATACCCCAGCCATTGTCTGTTTTCAGTCCCATTCCTCACTTGCACATTTTGGAGTACGTGCGTTGGAGTCTTGTGTGGGGAGCTGCGTTGTGCCATCTTGCTCCCACTTCTTCCTCCATCTCCATCTCTGTCACTAGCGGGGCACCACACCTGGTGGGTCCGCTACAATCGATCACCCAGCCATTTGGCTGGCTGGTACACACATGAATTGCAAATAAACAAACGAAAGTTTTAATGCTGATGGTATAAGAAGGGGAACAAGAATCATTGAGTAAGTTGGGGCCAGTAAGCTTGGGGAAGACACATAACGTCATCGCCCTCTTTCTTTATGAGATAAAAATCAACTTGAATAGGTTAAACATATGAAGTAGAAACTACATCTTATTTTTTGCCAATCTTTTTATTCTCTTCCTCCTCCTTCTCCTCCTTCTCCTTCTTCCTCTTCTGCAATGTCGTTTTTTCTCCTTGCTTTATCCCCTCCTCCTCCTCCTCCTCCTCCTCCTTCTTTGTCTTCTACTGACATGATAGAAGCAGTAGCAGCGAGAGAGCGAGAGAGACTCAGAGAGAGAGAGAAAAAGAAAGAGGGAGAGACAGAGAGAGAGAGAGAGAGAAAGAGAGAGAGAGAGAGAAACGAAGTTGTCAGGAAAAGGGCAAAGCCTTGCAGGGTTACAAGAACAAAAGATCGAAGTGTCATCATCACCCCAATATTTTTTTATCATGTTTGTAGGATCGCAACCAGGGTCCCTGCTTGCAATCCCACAAGCACGTTCAAAAGACTATGGGGCGGTGACTATGCTTCGATCATTTGTTCTTGCAGTCCTATTGACAACATCGGGGTTAAGATCGAAAGGAAACAAACACCAAATACACGGCCTATCAGTTGCACTACTTGCAATCCGCCAATATTTTGAATGCATATGAACAGAACAACCGTCCATATTCATTCAAAATATTGGTGGATGGCAAGTGGTGCAACTAGGCCACAAAAGGCAAGGCAAGCATAGGGACAAAAGAAGACAACGAAAAAGAGGGCACGACCGAAACAATGAAAATCGAAGAATAGTCGTGGAAAACACGTAAAAAGGATGAGAACAAATGAAATAATATCACTCTGCACGTCAAAAGACCAGACCACGGAGATAGCACATCTTGAAGGGAGGGAGGGGGGAACAAGGTCGCACATAAACGAAGGTCCTGGAGGAAAAAAAAAGATTCAGAGTATAAGAAAAATGGGCAAAGAGAGATGTGCCACCAAGAACAGCAAGTGCTTATGCGAAAGAAAAATCTTCAAAATCGATAGCTTAAGAGAAAACAGAGCACAAAACGGGAGAGAGGGGCAGCAACGACAAACGAAGAACCCAAAAAGCGGAAAGAAGATCGGATCAGGGCAGCGGGAGAGAAACAAGGGGGAGAGAG